GTTGATCTTCACGAGTCAAGTCAAGTCACAGTTGATCTTCACGAGTCAAGTCAAGTCACCGCTGATCTTCACAAGTCAAGTCAAGTCACAACTGATCTTCATGAATCAAGTCAAATCACAGTTGACCTTCATCAGTCAAGTCAAGTCACCGTTGATCTTCACGAGTCAAGTCAAGTCACAGTTGATCTTCACGAGTCAAGTCAAGTCACCGCTGATCTTCACAAGTCAAGTCAAGTCACAACTGATCTTCATGAGTCCAGTCAAGTCACAGTTGACCTTCATCAGTCAAGTCAAGTCACCGTTGATCTTCACGAGTCCAGTCAAGTCACAGTCAATCTTCCTGAGTCCAGTCAAGTCACGGTTGGTCTTCATGAGTCAAGTCAAGTCACAGCTGCTCATCATGAGTCCAGACATGTCTCAACTGATCTTCCATAGTGTCATCACGTCTCAGCTGATCTTCCAGAACCTCATCACGTCTCAGCTGATCTCCCAGAGCCTCGTCACGACTCAGCTGATCTCCCAGAGCCTTGTCACGTCTCAGCTGTTCGTCCAGAGTCACGTCACGTCACAGCTGTTCGTCCAGAGTCACGTCACGTCACAGCTGTTCGTCCAGAGTCACGTCACATCACAGCTGATCATCCAGAGTCATGTCACTCCTCCGCGGTGTGATGAGGCTGAGGCCTCAGGTACGATCTCGTGTCCCTCCTTGGGACCTCGCTGTGGTGTTAGAAGCTCTCTGTAGGCCTCCTTTTGAGCCTATCGAGGAGATATCAGATCGTCTTCTTACGTTAAAGACTGTATATCTCTTGGCTATATCTTCTCTAAAGAGAGTTAGGGATCTGCAGGCCCTTTCTGTGGCCCCTTCCTATCTCGACTTTGCGCCCGGTCTGGCCAAAGCTTTTCTGTACCCTCGTGCGGGGTATGTCCCTAAGGTCCCCTCCTCTACACTACGGCCTGTCGTACTCCAGGCTTTTTATCCTCCTCCCTTCAGGGAGCCCGACCAGCAGAGGCTTAATTGTATGTGTCCAGTGCGAGCACTGGATACATACGTCCACAGAGCTGCCCTGTGGAGAAAGGCGGACCAACTGCTTGTGTGCTATGGTCCCCCTAAGAGAGGTCATCCTGCTTCCAAGCAGACCCTCAGCCGGTGGATAGTGAATGCCATTACTGTTGCCTTTGAGTCCTCTGATCTCCCCTCACCATTAGGGGTCAAGGCTCACTCAACAAGAAGTGTGGCGGCCTCCAATGTCTTTCTGGCAGGTGTTCCTATGCAGGTCTACGCCCCTCACTTTCGTCAGGTTCTATGACCTAGATTTGCGAGCCACTTCAGGTCCCTCTGTTCTCTTGCCATAGCTGTGCTCTTCCACACTAGGCAGGGATTTGCAAGTTCCCCTAGCGTTTTCCGACGCAGCTCGAGTTCCCGAAGGGGAACGTCCCAGGTTACGTATGTAACCATGGTTCCCTGAGGGAACGAGACGCTGCGTCGCAAGGCCATACTTCCGGCATCCCTACTAGAGCTTGCTTCACTCTTGTAAACTTTAAATGTTTTCCCTTCCTTTCCATCTGTTCGTCTAGCACGTTTCTTGTAGTAAATTGAGGGTTTTTCTCAGCTGCTCTGGTCAAACATCTTATTTCCCTTGATGAAATTGTGCGAGAGCTGTTTTGTCTTGGCCATTCTGCTACTCATCTTCAGCATATGCACAGTCTCAATTTATGCATTTGTCACAACTGAAGTGTCATTATAGAGATCCCAAAGGAGTTATTGTGTTAGGATCTTTAGAAAAACTTGCATTTGTAAATTGTTACAGTCTTGTAACAAGTGTGTGTGTGTGTGTCACGAATCCGGTCCATGAACTTCCGTCTGCTCGCCACCCGAGGTCACCCTTCCACTACTATGGACTCTTGCACCACACCACTGTTGCATTTCACCCGGACTACAGTTCCCATCATCCACTGCACTGATTACACACACACACAGTTGACTGCACACAGCTGTAATCAATCACACATTCCCTATATAACACTCACTCTGATCCCTTCCCATTGCCGAGTATTGTATAGCCCCCTCTCGTCTTGCCCTACTCGGATACTGTTTGCCCCTGCCTGGATCTTTGCCTTGTATCTGGATTTATCCCTCTAGTCTCGCCCTGTTGATTCTGTTCGCCTAGCGTAGACCCACGCTAGCCCTAGGAATATTCTTTTGTCTTGCCCTTTATATACCTGTTGCCATTGGCCTGTCTCTACCATGTCTGTTAATAAAGCTTTGCACTTGGATCCGCACGTCTCACGTCTCTGTCATCGCGTTACAGTGTTTTTGTGTGTATACATACAGTACCTGTCAAAAGTTTGGAAACAATGTAAATCTTTCACTTTTTATCAATGAAAACATCCTTTCTGAATAAAAGTATTAATTTATTTTTTTTAAAAAGGAGAAAACTAATTACTGACCCCAAAATTTTAAATGGTATTTATATTGTTACAGAAGATTTCTGTTTTAAATAAATGCTGTTCTTTTTTTAAACTTTTTATTCATCAAAGAATCCTGAACAAAGTATCACAGATTATTAAAAAAATCAAGCAGCACAACAGTTTCCAGCACTCATAATAAATCAGCATATTAGAATGATTTCTGAAGATCATGTGACACTGAAGACTGGAGTAATGATGCTGAAAATTAAGATTTACTGTCACACAAATAAATTATATTTTAAATTATATTAAAATGGAAAACCATTATTTTAATAATGGTAATAATATTAATAATATTTCACAATATTACTGTTTTTTCTGTATTTTTAATGTAATAAATGGAGGCTTAATGACCATGAGACTTCTTTAAAAAACATTAAAAATAGTAACTTTTGACTTGTACTGTATGTAATGTTTCAAAACTTTTGACTGGTACTGTAAATATATATATATATATATATATATATATTGTGACGAGCAGCCCGGCACCACATCAGCGTTGCCCTGGAAACTCACGAGGAGCACCTGCTCACGAGCACTAAGGGCTGATCGGCCACACTTGGGGCTCGTCAACCCGCCGGCAGATAAGCAGCGTGCTCACCGATGACGGGTGAGAAGCCTCTCTATGAGACAGCAGACTAACCCTCTCTCTATTCCGTTCCAGAAGGCACCAAATAACCGATCAGCCCCGCCACGAGCACGGCACGGATTCACCCGCACCTGGACACGACAGAGAGGACCTCAACGAGCTAGAGCACCCCCACCCTCCGGGGCCTTACACCAAGCTTTCCTTGTTGCGTGATCCTTCCACCCCGCCACACTGGTGGAGAATGTGGGCAAGTTAGTGGAAGGAAGCGATTTCCCGTGGTCTCACCTTTCTGTTTTTTCCCCCCTCTCTGTCTCCCCTCTGCTAGGCGGCCGCTCCTCCCCGACATCGATGAAATCCTCCAGCGGCTTACGGAGGTCAGCATCCGCCAGCAACAAATTACGGAACATCTTGCTGCCCGACAGGGTCAGACCGAGCAGGAGCTCGACGCACTGCGCACGGCCACAGCACGACGCGTTCTGTTACCCGACCCCTGGGTACGAGTGACACAGCTCTTGCCCAAAATGATAGCTCATGATGATGTGGAAGGTTTTCTACAGATGTTTGAAAACACGGCGACCCAGGAGGGCTGGGGGAGGGACGGCCACACCTGGGGCTCATCAACCCGCCGGCAGATAAGCAGCGTGCTCACCGATGAAGGGGGAGAAGACTCTCCATGAGACAGTGAACTAACACTCTCTCTATTCCATTCCAGAAAGCACTGAGTGACCGACCAGCCCCGCCACGAGCACGGCACGGATTCACCCGCACCTGGACACGACCGAGAGGACCTCAGCGAGCTAGAGCCCCATCACCATACACGTAGTCACCTGTCATTTAATAAATCCACCCTCCGGGGCCTTAACTTAAGCTCTCATTGTCGTGTGATCCTTCCACCCCGCCACAGTATACACACATATGCACACACACACACGGGGTGAAATAAAAGTGCAGGATTTAAACATCACAGTCTATTATTTACAAAATGAAATATTTGGTGACATTTTGGGTATCTCCAATGTATCTAAAGTTTGATTATTTTCTTCTAGTATAACCGTGGTCATTTACGAACTACATGGAGAAGAAACAACTGGGTTTTTGGAATACTGGAAATGAAGGGCCATAGACGTCTGCCCATTTTGAAGATTGTCAAAAACCGCTCAAGACAAACTCTCATACCCATTATCAGAAGGCACGTGAGAAGAGGATCCACCGTTTTCAGTGACTGTTGGAGAGCATATGTTCAGGCTCTTCCTAGACATGGATACAGGCATTTTACTGTCAACCATTCAGAAATCTTTGTTGATCCAGTCACTGGTTGCCATACACAGCACATCGAGCATGCATGGCAAAGCATAAAGTCACAGGTTAACAAGCACAGAGGCAACAAAAGCACTCCGCTCTTGAAAGAGCATTTGAAATGTATTCAGTTGTATCATTGGTTAGGCAAACTAAACAGACAAGGAGTAATTGCTCAGCTCTTTCATGACATAAGAAAGGATTTCGAAATCCATTAATTTGCAGCCATGAAGAACATATCAACTTATAAATATTCTGTCTCTTAAGTACTTTCATGTAGAACAGAATTTAACATTTTAATTTGTTCTACTATCAATTAGGGTAATTACATGTAGATCCAGATTGCTTGATAATATAAATGAATGTGCTCACATAGTTTTTAACAGAATGTATACTTTAATTTCACAGATACAGACTTTGTGAATTTTGAATGTAACTTCTAGATATTAAAACAAGTTTTCTTGTGTATTTTCAGTGTAAGTACACATTAGTTCCTGGGTATCAGCACAGGTTCCACACTTTATTTTAAGTGGTCAGTTTTTGTGTATTTTCAGTGTAAGTACACATTAGTTCCTGGGTATCGACACAGGTTCCACACTTTATTTTAAGTTTTCCGTTTTTGTGTATTTTCAGTGTAAGTACACATTAGTTCCTGGGTATCGACACGGGTTCCAGACTTTATTTTAAGGGGTCAGTTTTTGTGTATTTTCAGTGTAAATACACATTAGATCCTGGGTATCGACACGGGTTCCACACTTTATTTTAAGTGGTCAGTTTTTGTGTATTTTCAGTGTAAATACACATTAGTTTCTGGGTATCGACACAGGTTCCACACTTTATTTTAAGGGGTCAGTTTTTGTGTATTTTCAGTGTAAGTACACATTTGTTCCTGGGTATCGACACAGGTTCCACACTTTATTTTAAGTTGTCCGTTTTTGTGTATTTTCAGTGTAAATACACATTAGTTTCTGGGTATCGACACAGGTTCCACACTTTATTTTAAGGGGTCAGTTTTTGTGTATTTTCAGTGTAATTACACTTTAGTTCCTGGATATCGACACAGGTTCCACACTTTATTTTAAGTTGTCCGTTTTTGTGTATTTTCAGTGTAAATACACATTAGTTTCTGGGTATCGACACGGGTTCCACACTTTATTGTAAGTGGTCAGTTTTTGTGTATTTTCAGTGTAAGTACACATTAGTTCCTGGGTAT